AAACAAAAAGCATCATACTTTGTGGGGGACTCACAGCACAGGAAATTCTTGGTGTGTGGGATGGGGTTAGAAGTAAAGCAGTTTCTTCTACACACCCCTGGATTGTGGAGACCAGAGAGAATAATCTTACTGGTCATAAAGCCAAGCTCTTTGGACATAGAAGATGACAAAGGAAAAACTTCATTTTGTTTTTATATAGAGGACTCACAGCAGATTTTGTCTAAACAGATGCCAGTCTTATGAGAACCACGAACCCATCACTTTTTGAGACTGGCTTGAACAGCAGTCTTAAAAAGACCTAAGACTTGTGTTCTTTCTCTCTAGTAATTTCTTTTTATAACAAATGACTCAAAGACAAAGACAAAGAAAAACCATGACCATCTCTATGAGGCAATGAATCAGCCACATGAAGAGTACCCTACCAAATCTTACCAGAATCACCAAGACCAAGAAACCAGCTCCACAAATATTTTCTTTTGTTGATCTAAATTTAGAGAAAATAGATGCTCACCAATATCACTCCATTAGACCATGCAGGCAGAGATCAGGAGGCTGATGTGGTAACAACTTAAGAAGCCTGCTAAGGATTCTTACCTTCTGGCTGTTTGTCAGATGTTCCAGATGTGTCAGCTGCAAGAGCCTCAAAGCAAACAGTGTCCAGTGAGAGAAGTGTATCCTACTGACTATGTCAAATGTTGGGAAGGAAAACTTTTATTCTACCCTTCAAGGTTCTTCTAGGTGGCCTAAGAGTTAAAAGTGATATGAAAACATGTTAATAGAGTAAAAAAACACTCCAAAGTTTATTACATGTGCACAGAGGCCAACTATTAATACTGATACCCAAAGAAATAATCAGGTCACACAGCTTTTGTAAGTTATAGTCAAAGAAGCATAAATCTGTGAGGAAGTGACAAAACAAAATCTATGTTTAAGAGCTTCAGTTAGTAAGGAATTCTAAACAGATTTGGGCTGTGACAGTAAATCAGTAAAAGTAATAAGGTTTGTTTATTTAGGCTTCTTTGAATTTCCTGTCTCTGATGAAAAGGATGTCTCCCTACATCCTGGTGCAGGGAGGCTCCTCATGTGAGAGATTTATTCATTGGTTTCTGGAGACAACAGAGAGTCAGAGTGTTCTTCCTATACTGGCTGTTTTTTAGGTAACTTTAAATGAAAATGATTAATATGCCATTGTTGAACTTTTTGGGGTGGGCTACCTTGGAAAGCTATACTGGTAAACCTGTGACCCCACCAGGCAGCAGATCAAATGAAGACTGTCCCCAGTTTAAAGCTACCTTTCCAGAATTATTTTCTTGGTGTGGATTTTCTCTGCCCTGGAGGCTATGCAGGTGGTTTGGGAAGGTTGCAGCTACACAGCCCAGAAGTCCTAGGCTGCCCAATGCCTGAGAGGATAGGTACTCTGCATGCGCAGACTGCATAGGTCAGGGTAGCTAGGGACCTCTTAAAGGTCAAGTGTCAAGCAATGCCAGTCACAGGAGAGAGCTATTAGGGGTATAAAATACCTTCCTAATTCCAAAGTCTGACCTACACAAATATGCATATTCTCTCAACAGCAGAGCTGCAGGAAAATGGACCACCTTGCCAGGGTGTAGTCTGGCAAGACTAATGGGATATCCCTGAATAACAGACACCTGGGAGACTTGATAACTGGTCCCATTCTGGCAAGGCCATCCAGTTTCCTCCAGGGATGCCTTCAGGAGGAATATGAACATTTGTTTAGGTTAAAAATTGGAATTAGGCAGATGCCAGGGACCTCCAAGAGCTTACTCTCGACACCTAGACACTCTCAACAGTTGCCCAGTTCTGGGTCCCTGGCCTCCCTGACCCATGTGGCCGGCACATGTGCCGTAGGTACCCTGTCAGCCCGCCGGTGTCTAGCCAGACCCCTTCGCCTGTGGAGCTGGGGCTCATATCCAACCACTTACCTAGCTTCCAGAGCAAAAGAACTCACTTCCAGGAAATCTTTCTGAGGTGGCAGCTTTAAAATGGCTACAGTCAGTACACATTTGGACCAGTTGCTTGATAGGGTCCCAGGCTTCTCCAACAATCAAGACTCTCAGGTGTCTTTTAGTGGTGGGTACCCGGTCCAGTCTGCTCAGCCCCACTCTGGCAAGTCAGTCCAGTTTTCATCAGTTCTGTCTTCAGGGGCATTCTTCACATTTGTGTAGTTTATAGCTTGGAATCACGCGGTGCCTTGTACCCCCAAAAGCCCTCTTCAGTGGCCTGGCCTCTCAAGACCGGTGCTCTATTCCAGTTCAATGTCTAACCTGAAGGAAGCTACACTGAAAGCTCAGTACACAGTCTGTCAGCCATCCTTGGGAAGCTGAGGCCCTCTCGGCTGGGGCCAATGCCTGACCACCAGTGTGGCCTCCAGGGCAGAGGGAGCCCACTGCTCATAAATCCTCTTGAGGTGGCAGCCAATCCATTGGTTGCCTAAAGAAGTTCTGGATTTACCACTGATCATGGCTTTCAGGTGTTTTTATTTATTTTTTTACTGAGAGAAAGAGAGCATGAGCAGGGGAGGGGCAGAGGATGAGAGAGACAGAATCTCAAGCAGGCTCTAGGCAGAAAGTAGAGCCATATGGATCCTGAGCCCTGTGGACCATGGGATCATGACCTGAGCCGAAATCAAAAGGTGGACTCTTAGCCGACTGAGCTACCCAGGCGTCCCATCCCAGGTGATTTTTAGTGAATGCTCCCCTGGCTAGCCAACTAGTCTGGCCTCATTCCTAGAAAAGCAGTCCAGATCCTCCAGCTTTGCCTTTGCTATGTATTGGTTTGATATGATTTCAAACCCATTTGTTTATGACTAAGACGAAAAGTATTTTCAGAGGTAAGTTGTTTTGATAGAAGAATAAAGTCAACTGTGTCAGGAAGTCATTATGTCATCCGTTCTCACTGATAAGAACTAGTAGCTCAGCAGCTGGGGGCTTGTCAACAAAAACTCATGAAGAAGTAAGTATGGCAAGGGGACATTAGACTACGAATACTGAAAGTTTGCGGGTTGATCCGAGAGGGATTGGTCTGCACAAGTCTCCACTTTGCTGATCTAAAATAGCTCTCTGAAGATGCTGGGACAATTAGTTCCTGCCATGGTAAAGGTGATCCCTTTACTGACAGCAGCAAAAACCACGCAGAGGCCTTGCTAAGATCATCTTGCCCATCAACACCCCAGCCACCGTTCCCTAGTAACCTGCTCTAGCAACACAGGACTTTTCCTGTTACACTGGCAGCTGGACATCAGCTCTCAGTTGGCTAACCTGTCCCACCCCAGTATCAACTCATATAAAGCGTTTAAAAAAGAAACAAGAAGTCCAAAATGGAGTCCTTTGCCTTCAACCTCAGCAAACCAAAACCTTAATGACAGTTTCACCCTATCCCAGGAATGTGGTCTTTTAAAAGTCAGTCTGAAATTTCCTGATCAGTACCAGTGAGGTGGTGACAGAGAAACAAACCCTGCTGGTCCCCACCCTTATCCTTAAAAGAAGCCATCCTGGCCTGAAACAATCCTTTCTTTTCTTTTGCTAATAACATCCTTGCCCCACCCTCCTTCCTGTAAAAACCTTCCATTTAGTACAACTCCTCGGAGCAACTCTGCTTGCTAGATGGGATGATGCCTTATTAATGAATTGATTAATAAAGCCAATTACATATTCTGATTTACTAGGTTGAATTTAGTTTTTTAACAAATGTTCATCTCAACTAAATTTAGACTTTGTTCCTTTCATTGCCCTTTGCCTGGAACAATAGTGTGATTAATCTGTGATTGATTCGGAGTATGCTATTTCTTTATTGGCTTATTAAAAGACATTATTGTATGTCCCATTGGCTTATAAAATTCCACACTGAACTGTGTTAAATATAGAACATTCTTGTAATTTGGTGCTAATGTTGCCCACAGTAGTTACCTTAATACTGATTAGCCATAGTATGAACCATTTGGAATGCTCTATTAAGCATCTTGGTGATAAAATATCATAAATATTTGTGATTAGCAGAGGAAATAGTAAATATACCTTGCTCACAAACCCTACCAAAATTAGTCAATAGGTGGTTTAGGGGTAGAACGGGTTGTGTAGTAACTTCTGAAGATCCTTAGAGACCTACTGAAGATTTCATCTGGGCAAAACTGAAAATTAAGGAAACTCCAGATGTTAGACTGATCATCCAACCCAGTCAGTTGTATTCTGTATTAAAAAGTACAACTGAGGAAGAGGTTACCAAGCTCTTCTTAGGAGCAGTAAGTTACATAGACTTTTATAGGCAGAAAGGAAGAGCACTAGTGAGACAGGGAAGCTGCAGGACTCCATAAACATCTGTTTTTTGGGTCGCCTGAGTGGCTCAGTCGGTTAGGCGTTCAACTCTTGGTTTTGGCTCAGGTCATGATCTCACAACTGGTGAGTTCAAGCCCTGCACTGGACTCTGTGCTGATGCATGGAGTCTGCTTGGGATTTTTTCTCTCTCCCTCTCTCTCTGCCCCTCCCCCACTCACTCTGTCTCTCTCCAAATAAACTTAAAAAAAATTTTTTTTAAAGATTTAAATTAAAAAAATCTGTTTTCTGCCTTTTCCTGCTTCTATTCTTGCTAAACCAGCACCCCCACTTTACACATGCCTCATAATGCAAACTGTACATCCTTCTTGTAAGGGTCAAGGAGGTCTTTAGAATAGATCCCATCTAAGGAAGGACCAGGTGAGAATGACCAGACAAAGCCATCATATGTGCATTCCAGACCACTGGCACTGGACAACTCAGTGCCAAGACCCCCTGGGTCCAAGGAATAACACCTGGGCCCCCATCTTTGTTCTCACCAGTTCCTTGATGCCTGAGAGGACACATACTATAAACCACAATCCTCAATAAAAACCCCAGGCCCCAAGTGAAGTTGAGACTCTCTTCTTTCCTTTCTGAGTCTCCCAGATACCCTGTATCTATACTCCCTCTATACCTTCAGTAAACTCTGCTTTCACTTTCTGCTGGCTCACATATCATTTCTATCCTGTGTGCAGCCAGGGATCCTCCTGGCTTGTCCTGCAAGTCCCCCTCTGGGTCCTGGGATCCAGCCTGCTGGCATCACTAACACAAAAAAATATATCTCCAGTCTTGAGAAACTTAACAGAAGACCATAGGGGAGGGGAAGGGGGAAAAAAAGTTAGAGAGAGGGAGGAAGGTAAACCATAAGAGACTCTTAGATACTGAGAATGGACTGAGGGTTGAAGGGGGGTTGGGGAGAGGGGAAAGTGGGTGATGGGCATTGAGGAGGGCACTTATTGGGATGACCACTGGGTGTTGTATGGAAACCAATTTGACAAGAAATTATATTTAAAAAGTTTATCTCCAGGATAGGAAGAAATCCAGAACCTTTTGCCTCTGAGGGACTAATTCACATCCTGAAGATGACACTTACTTTAACTCTTTTGACCCTAGTAACATTAACTAGAAGCTAAGCCCATGATAATAGACAAAATGACAAATGTGATAATAGGGAACCACTCAGTCCTGAAGAGAGAGCTCATACCAGATAAGAGATGATAAAAATTAAAATGGAGTCCCAACAGGGGTGCCTAGGTGGCTCAGTTGGTTGAGCATCTGACTCTCAATTTTGGATCGGAACATGACTTCACAATTTTGTGGGTTTGGGCCCCATGTCAGGCTCTGCATAGGCAATGCCGAGTCTGCTTGGGATTCTCTCTCTCTCTCTCTCTCTGCTCCTCCCCTACTCATGC